ACATTTCCATGCTTAATAATGTGCTGTCCACATTTGATGATAGGCAATTTTGATTAAGTAAGGGTATTCGGAAGCAATATTCCTCTGTCGAAGATCGGCCGGTCAATGTAAGCTACGAAATAAAGAAATTCTAGTTCAAAATTAAATCGTTTGATTTTTGCGGCAGACGTTCGACGCGCGTCTTTCATGCATCTCGCGAAATCTCGCAATTGTACGGAAAATCACCTATTGCTATGAAGTTAAATTTAATTTTAGTGGAACTAGCAAGTGCAATTTTCAAGATATTGGGTAAAATTTGACTGAAATAAAACAAAATTTTTTGACAAAATTTTGGACAAAATGAAAACATTAGTACTGGTGCTGCTGATAATGACAATGAGATGTCGGGTAATATGTTCTCCAAGATCTTTCAAGTAGATTAGTGTAGTAAAACTTAATGTTGCGAGTATAAATCAAAAAGTGACTAATACAGTGTTTCTTTCATTTTTCAAATCTGGCTGGTATTTTATTTTGCTTAAATAAATATATATATATATATATATGCTTTGCTTTGAGGGACATTCAGATTAGTACATGTAGTATTAATTGAGGAACACGTAATTGTCATTGGCTAGTATTTTTCTTGCTAAATTTTGCTTAGATATGTTGCTTTACTATTATTGTTTAGAAACTCTTTTGTTACTCATCCATATATTTGTTTTTCAACCCTAATTCCATCAGCCATACTTTACAATTTTGTATTTTTACATTGACTTGACCAGATAAGAGTTGATCAAGGTTCTCAATGAACAAGGTTGTAATAATTACGCTATGTTTACTCCTAGACACTATGTTTGACACAGTGAGTGGTGGACAAAAGGTACTACTCTTATGGTCAGGCTCATCCCCTGCTGTTAACCTGCAAGATGTAGTACAACAGTTAAATAACAAAGTCGGAGAAAATGGGAAAGTACAGCTGGAGCATGTAGATAGATTGTCTTTGTGTAAGTACCAGTACTCCAATGAATTGCAATGATGCTTACCACTTTTTTTTCATTTCCTATGTTTTGAAGTTGGAATTAACTACACATGGATACTGTGAAAGCACTGATTTTCAGTGATGTGTAATTTAATTGCTACCTCATTAAATTAAAAATTGCAGTTGCCTGTCCAACGGTCTGGTTAGAGAATAAAAGTACCTATCCCAATTGATGATGTATATGTACCTATCCCTAGCAAGATAGATAGATAAATAAATATCATTTCAAATAAAAAATTAAATTGAAGTCTTGAATTGAATATTCTGAATACAATTTTCTGTATTAGCAGCTTTGGACTACCCATTTGGTCAGTTAGCAAGACAGACAATTTGTACATCCACCTGTCCACCTGTGGTATTATCCAATTACATGTATAAATTAACGCAAATGATCACATGCTAACTTGTAAATAATTTGATTTCACTTGACAGCGAATTTACAAGATTCCACATTTGATGTGGTTCTCTCAGGGCTTCTACTACCAGGCATCATTACACATAGTGCTGATATCTTGGCTACTATCGCCAAAGTTCTAAAACCAAATGGTATACTGATTGTACGAGAGCCTGTCACACAGAGCAATGATGCCAATACAGTTGTGAGAACATCAGCTAAACTCATCAGCTCATTAAAATTGTCTGGTTTTGTTGACGTTGCTGTGGTAAGTAACAATTGTCCAGTTTCGCCAACGTTACTATGGTTACCACTGGGAACTCTTGTTTGGTTTTGTCTGCGTCAATATATTAAGTAGCAATTGTTTGGTTTTGAAGTTACTATGGTAAAGTAACTTGAGAGAATCACAATGATTATTATTTTCGTAAACTGTCTGAAAAATCCTGTAGAGATTTTCAGTTCTACAAAATTTCCCTGACTTTGATTTGTTCAAATATGGCCAACTGGCGTCACCAATGGTTTCTATCAAATGACTGGGTCATCAGATGCACTGCATTATTATTATTTTTTGACCTTATTCAATATGGCCAGCTAATGGACATTTTTTGCTATGTTCTTACCAGTTTACATTAAAAATTGGGACACAGATATGTACCTAATTTTGTTTTTTGATCTCATCAAAAATGGCCGACTGGCAATTATTTTGGTTTTGGTTATAATGCATTCAGCCCAGTGTAATTAAGATATATAAGTAAGATTTGTAACTTGATTTTGTCAATGAGAAAGAGTAATCAATAATCTGATATATTTCAGTAAATTTTTTGGATCATCTTGACAGAAAGGCAAGAAACCAAAAATTGTAAGGTACCAGTTGTCACTATTAATGGTAATCATGGTATGTTTGGCCATTTTAAAGCAGCATTGTCATGGCATCTTGTGTTCGATATGGATTCTCTATGATGTATACAACATGTGTTAAAAAGACATAGTAAAACACTGTATGATGACTGGAACTTTAATATCCTGTTACGTTTTGTATATTTGCATAATAGGCTAAATCAGTTGACCTCGATGAATCCGTGTTGAGCCAGATTAAAGCGTCTCTCAAACTCTCAAATGAAGTTAACATGGTGGAGGTTGTTTCAAGTAAACCTGGCTTTGAAGTTGGTTCAAGTTCTCAGTTATCATTTGCTAAAAAACCTAAAACAGAAGGTACTTGTATATTACTGATAATCATTTTCCTTCTGTACTGTAAATTTAATAATTTGAGTGTGTTCAGAATTAAATTTTATGAAAATCACAGATCTCTCTTCCTGTGATCACCCAGTAAATCCCTCTCCCTGTCACCCCAAATGACTCCTTCTTCCTGTGATCACCCAGTAAATCCCTCTCCCTCTTCCTGTGATCACCCAGTAAATTCCTGTCCCTATGACCCCAAGTGACTCTCTTCTTGTGATCCCCCAGTGACTCCCTATCATTGTGATCTCCGAATAAATCCCTCTCCCTGCAACCCCAACTGACTCCCTCTCTCTGAGATCCAGTGACTCCCTCTTTCTGTGATCCTCCAGTAAACCCCCTCCCTTTGACCCCAATGACTCCCTCTTTCTGTGATCCTCTAGTGACTCCACTCCCTGTGATCACCCAGTGAATCAATCTCCCTGTGATCACCCAGTGAATCCTCCTCCATGCGATCACCCAGTGAATCTCCCTCCCTGTGATCACCCATTGACTCCCTCCTCCTGTGATCCCACAGTAAGTCCCTCTTATTGTGATTACCCAATGACTCCCTTTTCCTGTGACCACCCAGTAAATCCCACTCTCTGTGAATGCTCAGTAAATTCCTCTTCCTGTGATCCCCCCAGTGAATCCCTCTCCTTTTGATCACCCAATGACTTCCTCTTCCTGTGATCCCGCAGTAAGTCCCTCTTCCTGTGATTCCGCAGTAAGTCCCTCTTCTTGTGACCCCCAGTGACTCCCTCTTCCTGTGATCACCAAGAGTCACCCTCTCCATGCGATCACACAGTGACACCCTCTCCCTGTTATCTCCTGGTGAATCCCTCTTTCTGTGATCCTTGTGTGACTTCCTCTCTCTTAACCCCCCCTCCCCAGTGCAATTGATGCTAATGTGGTTCTTTCTTTATTATATCTTCAGTTAATTCATCAAAAGCAACAAATGTGTGGACATTGTCAGCATCAGATATGGCAGATGATGATTTAGTAAGTAGATAATTTTTCCACACTGTACCAATAATTTTATCGATATTACATATTCAGTATCTATGGTTACATCTATGAGGTCAAGCTGACAATAAATGCAATTGTTTATGTACACTTCTGCTTTTATAATGTAGAGCAAATATGGTACACTAGATAGTTTAATTTACCAGTATTGTATATTTACTGAACACACTCTAGTACCAACTTTAAAACACACAAAAGTCTGTATGCTCTGATAACTGATTTGCTTCCCCAAGTTACCATGGTAATGCAAATTGAACCACTGTTGACCATTTCTGAATCCACAATGAATCCATATAATTCCAATTATTCTTCATATGAATTAAGCTTAAAAATTTGATAAAATCTGTTTTTGTTTGTTTGGTACGTTCTAACAGGATCTAGTGGACGAAGATGACCTTTTGGATGAGGATGACCTAAAAAAGCCAGATCCAGAATCGCTTCGAGGTAATAAATTCATAAGAGCATATAGGGAAAATATTTTAATTTGGGCTTTTAATATTACTTCATTGTTCATTGTCACATTTTCTGCAGTCCTTGAAGATGAACAAGCTGATTTATTGATATTATGTATTGTTTTACTGCACTTACCTTGTATTAAGGTTGAAATTTTTTTGAATCAAAATGTTGGACTTATTAATTATGCAGAATTACATACAAATAAAATTGATTTTTGGTCAAAATTGTTCTTGCTAAAATTTTGGCTAGTATTTCTCAAATTTTGTCTAATGAGGTACCTTAAGGTTAATACAGTTTAAGTAATATTGATTGGAGAATCTAGAGATTAATTTTATAAATAACTATCAATTTCATTTATATTATCTAAAAGCTGAATTTAGAATACTCTCGCGTTCTTTCTTCATGTGATATATTGTTACAGTTTGGGATCTGAATGTTTTGTCAATCTAACTTTCAAATTGGTATAAAATAATTGTCACTGTTTTAAATCATAGAATTCTTATTAAAGGTCCATGCACTTCAAACACAACGTGTCTAAGAAATTTACTAGATGGTGATATTATTACATTTCATGTGACTGGAATATCAAAACAACAATCACGAAAATTACATGAAAACCATATATGATATAGTGTCACAGTTACATTTTTAACATCTATCACATATTCCAATTTATTCATGGTATCTGTGAATAAATGCAAGGTTGTAATTATTTTGTAAATTTTCTCTATAGCTGATTGTGGAACAGGGACAGGGAAGAAAAAAGCCTGCAAAAATTGGTAAGTAGCTCTCAGAAACTCATTTGGAGATAACCATTCTTCCATCAAGTAAATTAACCATAAATGAAATGCATTACTCGTTTAATAAATGTTCCTGTTTTTCCTACATTATACAGTTATTGTGCAGATTTTAAAAATCCCAACCCTGAGGTTATAAA